ATTTGTTTGTGTACAAACTAATACACTATCAGAGTTTTATATATTTATACTTCTCATTCAACCACAGTTAAATTCACTCTATCTAGGAGGCTCAGTTTATATGGATAGTTTTTATTTTTTACAACAACAAGCTGCAATGAAAACAAGCAAAAATGAAATAAAAGTAATGACTTTATACTTCTTGAGTTTTTTAAAACTGTAAGGAGTAGAAGTAAAAAGTAGGCTGAAAAATAATTACTCAAGTAAAGAACAGCTACACAAAAATTAAGTTCAGTAAAGAAGTATTTGTACTTAGTCACTTTACAATAAATGAATTTTCATTGTGATAAATCTGGATTATTAATTTGAAGCTTTAAACAAAAAATCTGGAGATAAAATGAATTAAACCTGTTTTTCTAAAAGTAAAATATCAGCAGACCTACCGTCCCAGGAGGAGCTCTGGTCCCAGACAGACCACATCTGGACAGTGAAGAACGGGGTCCAGCAGACCACGTAGGCCACCACGATCACGAAGGTCATCTTGACCGTGCGTAATTTGGCGCGCGAGATGGTGCTGACGCTGCTGACCGAGTTCCGGCCCAGGATCCCGCTCCGGGTGGTCTCCACCACCGACTCCGAGCTCTTCCTGCGGGTCTTGCACTTCAGGTTCCTCCAGATGGTCCGGCAGATGAAGCCGTAGCAGAGCACGAGCACGAGCACGGGCACAAGGAAGATCCCGGCGGTGATCCAAGTGATGTAGGCGCGCAGCCCCCACGGCTCCACGAAGTGGCCCCAGCAGTCGTAGACGGCTGAACCGGGCCGGACCTCGCTCAGGGAGAAGATGAAGTACTGCGGGGTGCTGAGGACCAGGCTGCAGGCCCACGTGGAGCCGATCATCAGGTAGGCGCGCCTCGTGGGCTGCTGCAGGGTCTGCAGCGGGTGGCAGATGGCGATGTACCGGTCCAGAGTCATCATCACCATCATGTAGGTGGAGGCGAACATGCCCAGAACCTGCAGGTGCTTGACGATGCGGCACAGGAAGTCCGGTCCGTAGAAGCGGAAGGTGACCTCCCAGCAGAGCTGCGGCAGGACCTGGAAGAAGGCGACCACCAGGTCCGCCAGGCTCAGGTGCTTCATGAACAGGTGCATCCGGGACAGCTTCCTGCGGGTTCGGTACATGGCCAGCAGCACGCTCAGGTTGCCCACCACCGCCGCCGCGAAGGCCAGGCTCAGGACGGAGATCTCCATCTTTGCCACCTCCTCGTTGCGCCCGAACGGGTCGCTCTGGTTCCTGGTGGGAGCTCCGCGCCCCGGCTGCTCAGTGCCGTTAAACGGTTCGGAGCAGTTCGGACCAGTCATGTTGCAGAAAGTATCCGGGCTGAGGAGCATCGTGGCTCTCCTCCTCCTCCGGGCGCACGGAGCGGCTCCACCGGTGCGTAACGGACCCCGGAGGAGCCCGAGGCGGGTTAAAGCTCCTCACAGCTCCGCTCAGGGGAACCAGGAGGAGAAAACTGTATCCCCAGGAAACAATGGTTGTTTCTGTGAAACTCAGTCTGAGAGCAGATCTGAGCTGCAGCTTCTTTTAAAGGCTGCCCCCTCCTCCCCCTCCTCCTCCTCCTCCTCTTCCTCTGCGCACCTCCTCCTCACACAAATAGATGATGAAGAACTGGAGGAATCTCTTTACTGATAAAATAAAGTTTATTTCTTGCTTTATGATTGATAAACTAATAAAACAAAGTTTTACCCTGGAAAAATAAAATAAAACTAACTTAAAGTTTAAAACAGTTAAATTTTTTCAGTATTTTCACATTTTGCTGTGTACAGAAACACTGACTGAAATTGTATCCATTTAGTTTTAAATAAGTTTAATGCTTTAATCTGTCGACCCTCAGAGTTTGTTTTCAGGATGATTCTCAGCTACCACTAAAACTGATCGAGTTATGGACATGAAGGCAAACATTTTAATGCTGACTTCAAAATTTGAGTTAGTTCTATTAAAAACCATGAGGTTAACAAAACCATTCACCTTTAGGGATAAATACAGGGTAAAATGTAATAAATAAAAATAAAATAATCAATGATTTCTGTAATTTTTTAATTAAAAAACTTAAATTTATTGCAAAAATCTAATTGTTTGATTTTTTTTCTCATCTTTTGTTCTGAACTGAACTGAAATCAAACATTTCAGTTTGGTTTTAGCATCAAAATACAGATTAAGGGTCCCAGTAATTCACACAAATAAAGTGAAACATGATTTACAGACATGAATCCATCATAGGGTCAGATTGATATACGGTCAGAAAGGGATCTTTTCTTCCACCAAAGGCTCCATAAATTTTATGCAGTCCTGCACTCACTCACTTCTGTCACATAAACCTGTGGCGACATTTTATTTTATCCTGAAAAGAATTAAGTTTAAAAAAAGAAGGGTTTTGATTTTTACTGATTAATTAACACGTTCTGCACGAACAGAAACTGCTCGATCTAATCAGCATCTAATTACCACTCACTGCCTTGCACCATCAGTTAAATACAGATTCAGCCTTCCCTTAAACCATGTGTGTGTGTGTGTGTGTGTGTGTGTGTGTGTGTGTGTGTGTGTGTGTGTGTGTGTGTGTGTGTGTGTG